GGTAGCGACTGAGCGACTGAAGAACTGAGGTTCTTCAGTCGCTCAGTCGCTCAGTAGCTCAGTACATTGCTAGTCGTCACCACAGAACCTTCGATATCATTTACGTAGTTGCCTTAATGTATTTATTTTAAAATAATTCACCAGTATTGCACAAATTACCACTCGACTGTCATATTTTGTTTAAAAAGGCATTCGTGTAGAAATTATAATAATACCTATATTAGTATTACTAGCTGTTGCTCGCGAATTACTCTGTGTGAAATTAAAAACTAATAAAAGATATAGCCTATGTTACTTACAGATAAAGTAGCTTTCCAATGGTGAAAGAATTTTTAATATCGACCCAGTAGTTTGTGAATTATTTCAATATATACAAAAGTAAAAAAACCTTTCTATCTCTCTTTGTCTTTTTTACATTAATAGTGTGTCCAACGTTATTTCGATGATTTCATCTTTCCTTTTTATAATATTAGGATAGATTAAGAAATTAAAAAAAAGCAAAATCGAGTAGTCTATGTGTTCTTCCAGACTATCCTCTACAACTATGCCAAATTTCATCAAAATCCGTTCAGCCGTTTAGGCTACAAACTCAAACAAACATCCATCCATCTATACTTTCGCATTTATAATATTAGTATGATTAAATGTAATGTATTTTTAAAGGTCAGGAACTACCGCCTGTAGCGAAAGCAATGATCCGTCTCCTACGAGCGCCCATTGAAGTTCAAAGTGTCGTGCTTAACTCGATAGCAGCACTTACTGTCAATAGACGGGTAAGTTTAACTTTATTTGAATTTTTTTTACTTAATAACTTTGGCTTAATAGCCTATGTGTTCTTTCAGACTATCCTCTACATGTATGTCAAATTTCATCGAAATCCGTTCAGCAGTTTAGGCTACAAACTCAAACATACTAATGACAATATAACTAGCTTTCGTCCGCGACACCGTCCGCGTGGAATTTAAAAAAAGCAAAAGTAAGTAGCCTATATGTTCTTCCAGACTATCATCTACAACCATGCCAAATGTCATCGAAATCCGTTCAACGGTTTAGGCTACAAACGCTAACAAACATCCATCCATCCATCTAAACTTTCGCATTTATAATATTAGTATGATAAATACCTCTATATTTACGACACGCTTTAGGTTATATTTTATCACGCTATTAATTTTAAGGGGTGAATAAATTAGAAAAATTATCGTGCGAGAAAGGGACAAAAACTAACCAATAGCAAACAAAGAACCATGGTTACCTAATTTCTTAACTAATAGCAAAGGCTGTTTATTTGAAATTTGACATTTTTAATTGAATGCTGTACAAATCTATACTATTATAATAAAGCGTAAACACACACTTTGTTGCCTAAGATGTCAGCAAAGACAGCATATTTTTGAATAATCCTTATTTTAATAAAAAGCTCTATACTTTCGTCACGCTTTAGGCTATATATTTTCACGGTATTAAACTTAGGTGGTAAATATTTTGGATAAAAACCATAAATTGCTGCCAACATCAAGAAAGCAAGATTGCTAAGGATGTCATGTCATGTCATTTTGACATTTGCTGTTGATAATTTGACAAATGTAAATAATAAAAAGAATTTTCAAAGTTTCATGCGGATGAATCCGCACGGGAACAGCTAGTATAAACAATAAAATCTAACTAATATTATAAATGCGAAAGTTTAGATGGATGGATGGATGTTTGTTAGAGTTTGTAGCTTAAACGACTTAACGGATCTGTATGAAATGTGGCATAGATGTAGAGCAGGGTATTGAAGAACACATAGACTACTTACTTTTGTTTTTTTAATACCACGCGGATGGAGTCGCGGGCGAAAGCTAGTATTTTTATAATGTCATGTGTTTAAAAAAATACAAGAATAGATTGTTATAAAACGTCAAAATTTGTTTTGATTTACATTTCTGTACAAAGGAAGGGGAATGACATTGATTTTATTGTCCTCAGTCCCTCTTCGAACCGTTTCTCAAATCATTTTTCGTACGGAACTCGGACCCTACTCATATAAAGTTACTCAAGTTGGAGATCCTCACCAACTTGGCGACGGAAGCTAGCGCGCCTGTGGTGTTGAGGGAGTACCAGACATATGTATCTTCTAGTGATAAAACATTCGCCGGCGCGACTATACAAGCTATTGGTAGACTTGCTGTCTCCATACATACAGAAACAGAGACATGTTTAAATGGATTACTGCATTTATTATCCAGTAAAGATGGTGAGTTTTAGAATTAATCTATACTATTATAATAAAGCGTAAACACACTTCTTTGTTGCCTAAGATGTCAGCTATTGCAGCATATTTTCGAATAACTCTTTTTTTAATAAAAAGCACTACACTTCACGCTTGAGTCTATATATTTTAACGCCGTTAAACTTAGGGGTAAATATTTTGGATAAAAACCCTAATGTGGGAAAGAGACCATAAGGTGCTGCCAACGTGAAGGAAGCAAAGTTGTATTTTTTTTTATAACATAAGGTGGCAAACGAGCAAGCGGCCACCTGAATCCGCCAAAATGGCGAAGCGACTGCCCATAGACATCCGCGATCGCAGATGCGTTGCCTACCCTTATCCGACGGAGGAGGAGACGCACATAAAGAGGACATTTCCCCTTCCTATGCGTCTCCTCTACCGTCAAATCCACTTCCCCTTCCCATCCTCTCCTTATAAGAAAAGGGTGGTAAAGAGAAAGGGACTTAAATTAGGCCTCCTTAATTAGGTATCATGTCATTTTGACGTTTGCAATTGATAATTTGACAAATGTGAACATTAAAATGAAATTTTTGTAATTTTATGCGGATGAAGTCGCATGGGAACAGCTAGTTATTGATAATTGAGCCACCAAATGCAAAGACTAAATAATACTAGAAACAGTGATTAATTTTTTTCCACCGGTACTTTCTCTGAATAGTACTATATCAGTTGTCAAGTTTAGTGGCACCTTTTGACCGTATATTGTAAGACACTAGCTTTCGCCCGCGACTCCGTCCGCGTGGAATAAAAAAAACTGAGTAGCCTATGTGTTCTTCCAGACTATCCTCTACATCTATGATATTCATCGAGATCCGTTCAGCAGTTTAGGCTATTCTATTCATCCATCTAAACTTTCGCATTTATAATATTTATTTGCCTCTGGTTTTAACACCCTGAGTGAGCGTTTAAAAAAAACGCAATATTTTTTTTGTTGGAATGTGTTTAAAACTACATAATATATCATATATTGTTTTTCACAACCATTTTTCCTCTTTTATCCTTGGATTTTTATCCGTGTGACATTTAAATACACGTGGCTTGGGGAATAGTTCATTTGAAATTCATACCTCCTTTGCCACATACAGTGTTCTAGACACTTTTTGACAAAAAGATACACATAGCACCTAAGGTGTTAAAGAAAAAATGCAAGCACATATCGGATTGTATGCACCCGACCATAAAAAGATTTAAGTGAGACCACTGACTTGGATTAGTTATAGTGTAGTTGAACAAGTACTGTTGTGTTGTCAGAGTGTGTGGTGTGCGAGGCGGTGGTGGTGGTGAAGCGCGTGGTGGGGGGCGGGGCCAGCTCGGCGCGCGCCGCCGTCTCCCGCGCCGCCAAGCTGCTGCGCTCCGACAGGTACGTACTGAGGTCCACTGGCTGATAGAGCCTCAGATAGCTTAATGACGTCACTGTCAGAATAACATAGACTTGCCCTTATCCCTTGCGGAGGGTCGGCGTGGTGATGCTCTTCCATACGTCGTCATATCTGATTCTTATGCACACTTTCACACAATCCTTACATACTTTCTGTCTTCCTCTACCTTTGTAGCCATCCACAACCACTCTTAACACTTTCTGGTTTAAGTCCCCAGCACGTCCCATAACATGTCCATAGCACGCTAACGCTAATAGAGTAACAAAATCCAATATTTTCATATATTTTACACATTGTTATCTGACTATTTATCATTTTGGTGGAACTGACTATATGCAAAGTCGTTTAATTTATTTAAACATTTTTTTATACTGTGACCTATTCCGGGTGGAATTAAGAGATATAGCTTTCGCCCGCGACTCCGTCCGCGTGGAATAAAAAAAATCAAAACTGAGTAGCCTGTGTTCTTCCAGATTATACTCTACATCTATGTCAAATTTCATTGAAATCCGTTCAACCGTTTAGACTTCAAACTCTAACAAACATCCATCCATCTAAACATTCACATTTTTAATATTAGTAAGAGTGAGATAGTAAGATGTTACTCACCGATAACGTAGCTTTTAATAGGTTAAAGAATTTATGAAAACAACCCAGTAGTTTTTTGTGGGTTTCAAATCGAATAGTAATATTATAAAGAGGAAATGTATGTGTTTTTTTATGTATTGAAGTAACTGAAAAGCTACTAGAGCGAGTTCAAAAATTCTTTCACATTTAAAAGCTACGTTATTGAGTAACATAGGCTATAGGCGAACTGAGTGGCGAGTAACAAGTAGTATGTACGTTGCAGGCTGGCGGCGAACGCGCGCGCGGCGGCGGTGTGGCTGGTGGCG